AGCTTCCTTTTTTTTTTTTTTTCTTCTGTAATTAGCTATCAGTATGGCATCGTTTTGAATTGCATGATCGTTATCATCATTGTTCATCGCTATGAATTAACGAATATTATCATCAAATGTGTGGTAAAATAAATGTATTTAAATAGCTGCAGATAACACAATATGATATATGTGCTGTATTAGTCAAAGAGCAGTCATTTTTTGTTCATCACATCTTTCAGCACTAGTAAAATACAAGTCTGTTTGATCTCTGTTCCAGTTTAAAATTGGAAATCTGTAGAACAGCCATAGCAATGAGGTTCTTGAGCAGATGCTTTTGTATTTTGTAGTCTAAAATATTTCCTAATTCAGTGCTATATACTAGAAATGCATAGTATTTTAGAGTCTGGAGTGACACGCTGTAGTTCCTATGCTTAGTGATGTTCAACACTTTTTGATTGCTTTGTGCCCTGCATCACTCTTGCAGATTAATTTCTTCTTAATACGTTGTACCTCAGAAATGAAACTTCAACTGGGATGCTGCATCTTGTCTTCAAATGATAATGACCTCTGTCTCTCAGTTCCTGGCCTGACACTCACATGCGTAAAGCAAAACTTGGCACAAGCTCACATTTGGATGCCGTTAAAGAATGAAAATCAGGCTGACTTCTTGACTTCTTTTGGCAAGTTCATAGCAAACAGGCTTGATAGTGAATGTGGTGCTGAGGCTGCCAGGGCACCCACTGGAAATACAAGTGAAGCTTTCAGGAATGGCAGAGACTGGGGCTGCTCTCAAAGGAGTGGCTCTGCAAGCAGAGGTGGCCAGTGAGGCAACATGTGGCAATGACTGAGAGTAAATATAACAGAGATTTAAGGGGGAGAAGATGCTAACTGAAGGAGGAACAGGGACAAGTATTTTATTTCTGATGTAGCTGGTAATTTCTGTCTTATTTAGTTAATTATAGGATTACAGGCTGCTTATGGCAAACACAATCTTTATTCAGGAGGAGCAGAACCTGAAAACAAGTTAGGCAAGAGAAAAAAATCAATGTGTAGAGACTAGATGGACCTACCAAGCTGTTCACTAACGACTCCTGCATTGGCATGGAGTCCCCTCCTTTTTAATAAAGGTAACAGAATTTCACCTACATGCAAATCATAAGTGGAAGAGACTGAAAATATTTGAGTACAAGGAAAGGAATAACCATAAGAAGATAAGCCTGCTAGTGGCCAGCTGATGCCAGCTCTCACTCTTTCTCTGGCCAAGTAAGTGCTACCTGACTGCAACCCAGAGCTAGCTAACTTGCAAGCTAACTTACTCTTTGTCCATCACGTAGTGTCCTACATGTAGCTGTGAGAGTATGGGACTCATTTCTCATCCTACTATTAAAAATGCTCTGGATATAACAACTTGGTCTGAGGACTAAATCCTCCTTCTGAAGGAAAGCTAGAAAGAAGTTTGGCTGAGTTCTCATTGAGAAAGTCATTAGTGTTACTCTAACTGTAAAGTTATGGCAGCTGAGGCCTTTGTTTTCATTATTTCAAGTATGTAAAGTATTTGTGAGGTTGTTCGTGTTGTAATTAGTGTTACCTGAATTCTGAATCCAAAGGAGATTTATGTTTTGAGAACATTTTGTTTCCCTGATCCTGGTGCTATGATTTATCTGAGAATAGCAATGATGTCCTCGGTTCCTACACTTTACAATCTGAATAGAGCTAATCTCAAGCATGATTCAAAGTTACAGATGATTAAGACAGTGAGAGTGCACAATAACTTGTCAGAGACTGGCTATGAAAAGATTGATCTTATAAAATAGGATGACTCTATCCAGTTGTATAGTAAACAACTTTCAGTGAAAGGTGAATCACACGCTTTCAGTTTGGCACATTGGTGTTGCAGTTTCCAGTTGGCATTGCAGCTGGACATGAGAATGTAAAGCACAGCAGAGCACTCCAAACTGAGGTGTACTTAGTATGCCACATCTTAAAAGTGTTGTTTTTCCTCCAATTCTCTACAATTTGTTTGCTCTTATCATTAAGAACCTGCTTCTTATTTCCAGGCACAGTTCATTCATGTCCAGCCTCCACTGCCTGTGCTTGTGCCAGCCATATCTTGTAGGGGAAATAGTTCTAAAAATTGGTCCAGAAGCAGGAACTGGAAATCCTCTGTGGTGCAGGAAGCTGTCTTAGATTAACTCATGCTTTTCTAATAGTGATGACCAGTATTCACCCTGTGTCCAGTACCAGCACCCCTCTAATCATTGAAGACCTGCTCAAGCCACCTCATCCTTGCTGCTGTACATGGATGTATTTCACCCACCTTTACTTAATGAATCACATTAGCTGATACATTTCCCCCCTACACACTCATTTCCTTGTCTTAAATTTCGTAAGTAACTGCAGTCTGAATACATTAAGTGAATGAAGAGTGTTATAATGTTGCTATTCTATCAAGAAATCCTTCTGGTTTTTTTTCCCCCGTTAGAATTGCTGATGGGAATGCTCTGTCCCTGCAACAGCCAGAGCCACGTCTCAGTAAGCAGGGGATCAGTTGGCAGGAAAGGGGAGAGGCAGGAGAGCCCTGTGGCTCTGCCACCTCCTGTGGCAGCTGTGCTGTGCTGTGCTGGACCACACTGACAGCGGTGCCTCAGACAGGATTCCCAGCCCTGCCTGTGTGCTGGGGAAGGAGCCGACCATCCCACGCCAAGGACTGAAAGAGCAAGGTAGGCACATGTGCTGAAAATGATGAACTGGCCATTATTAATTGTTCTGTGGGAAAGGGGGGGCAGACAGCTCAGTGTACGGAGAGACGCTGGAACCTCTCTTGTCTCTAGCAGTTGGTGAAAAAAGCAGCAGGCAAAATCTCATTTCCTGACCATGACACTTGCACATATACTCACACAGAGTCCTCTGAACTCAGAATTCAGTACTGAAAACCAACCTTGTGACTGTGGACATGTATTGTTGCTTATTTTCCATATGTTGTGCACATATGTTTGGGAAGAGGATTGAGAGAGGGCGGAGGAAGAGAGGCAACTCATGACTACTGACTTTTGAGGAAAGCACAGGTGTAATCCCAGCCTGTGTGACTGGAGGAATTGCTCTGAGCCATGCTCACTTACGTAGTGTTTTCCCTTCATACTCTTCCACCTATAAAGAAATCATTCTGGTGACACAAGGAAAACAGAAAAGATCTCAATTTTTTTTACATTTTACAAGATTTATAATTAATATTTTAAGCAAGAGAAGTTATCAGTCCCTTGGCTGTTTATCTTACAAAGGGATAAGATTTGCTGTAGAACAGCAGTAGACACAGAGGTAAGACACTTGGGAAGCAAACTGTGTGGTTGACATGGAAAGCTGACTACTTCATGTTGCACAACCTCCCCTCGGTCCTCAAGATCACACGCTTCTTACTGTGTCAGTACTGCTTATTTTTCTGCATGAAAAAAAAAGAAAAAAGCCTAGTTGCTATCTATTTGCAGCAGTTTTAATCCAAGTTTCACAACACTGCTTTTTATGTGATTATGGATGGCCAACAGACAGCATGCTTGTCTCCTGTAAATGTTAGCTTTGTAATGACGTGAGGACATGCTTTGTCTGGTATCTCTGAATGGAAAAAAACCCTGCAATAATTCTGTGCCTAAGCTATCTTTTTGAAACCGTGCTCTGAAGTAGTGCAACTTAATATCAGAGGGAAAAATGTGCACAAATGGAAGCACTGCTAAAGCTGATTTCAGGATTCTGTCCCTTAAGAGAACTGTTAAAGAAAACATATTGGCTGGTGCTTTTGACTCAGTTGAGATGGTGAAGTGACTGAGAAATCATGTGAGTAACAGCTCTGATAATTTGGAGAAACCAAAAGAATCAAAGTTGGGCATAAGTTGATGCACCTCATTTTGTTTTAAATGCTCTTATGAGGGTCATAAGAAGTACTTGCAGCCCAGCTTCTTGCATTTTGTAACTGGTACTGACCTCTGGTGACAACACTGGATGAAGGCAGCTGCCCTGCCGTCATTCAGTCATTCTCATGCTCCTGTTAAAGTCTATTACAATTAACTGAGAATCTCATCGCTCTGGTACTGTGTCATCAGTTGTCTTGCTGCAGGTTCTACTTCAGGCTTAATTCTGGCAGATTACACAGCTCTGGTTCGTGCAGATGTGAAACACGTCCAAATGACACTAATGCAGAACATATGCGTGTGCTTTCTCGTCAGCTTGCTGAGCATCCTTCCTCACTGCAAAATTTAGGAAGATTTACCAGGATTCTTCTGAAAAGTCATCAGGCTTTACCAACCTCCCTGGCCTTTCTTTAACACGGTTTTCTCACAATCACAAGATGGTTTGGGTTGAGAAGAGGCCTTGCAGCCCATGCAGTTCCAACCCCCTGCCCTGGGCTGGCTGCCCCCCACCAGCTCAGCCTGGCCTTGGGCACCTGCAGGGATGGGGCACCCACAGCTCTGGGCAGCAGTGCCAGGGCCTCACCACCCACACAGCAAAACATTTCTTCCTTATATCCAATCTCAATCTCCTCTCTTTCAGTTTAGAACTGTTGCTTCCTGTCCTGTCACCTCAAGCGCTGTTAAGAAGTCCATCTCCAACCTTGTTGCAAACCGCCTTCACACTGAAAGATCCCAGGTCTCTCCAGAGCCTTCTCTTCTCTAGATATTCAAAAAAAAGCTCTTTCAGCTTTTCGTCTTCTTTCAGCTCACTACTGGCATTTTATTGTTTGGCAAACAAGCTGAAGGCCAAGCACGTTCTCCTCCTTGGCTGTTTCCAGGAGAAAACTTCACCTGTCCGATCAGGTGCTTTGCGTGTTCCCCCCCGGGAGCAAGGAGGTTGTTTGGATAGGGCAAAGAAAGCGACAAGAAAGGCACGAAGCGGTAGCAGCGGTCCGAACACAGCACCGCGCACCTCTCCCTGCGGCAGCCGCGTTCCTGCTGCCGGCTCGGGGCGGAGCGGGGCTCCGGGGCTGGGCCCTCCCACCGCCTTATAGCGCGCGGCCGCCGGGCCGAGCCAGCGCCGCCTGTCTGCTGGCCGAGCCGAGCCGAGCCGAGCCCTTCGTGCGAGGTGAGCGGGCGGGGCGCCCCGAGGGGCTTCGGCACGGGGTGGGCGCTCGGGGCCGGCGGGCGCTGCGGGCGGACGGCTCGGTGCTTCGGTGCTCCTGTTGCTGCTGCTCGGGTTTCTTGCGGGGCACCGCGGGAGAGCTGGGGCCCGGCTCAGCCTCGCCTTCCCCGTGCCGGTGGGTTGGCTTCCCGTAAAGCTAGTTCCTTACTTATTTCTTTATACACATGCGCTTCGTCGTGTGTTTTTCTTTTTTTTTTTTTTTTCGTTTGTTTTTTACGCTTAGGAATTGGGGATGTGCCGTTGTTACAGTCAGAGGTGTTGTTTTGTAGGAAGGCAAAGCGTGCAAAGTGAGGGCTTTCTTCCGCCGGGAGGAACGGGCTCCAGCCGCGCTGGGCGCTACGAGGCCTCCCGAACTTCTGCCGCTCCGGCTGCGCTGCGGGCGGTGAGCTGAGCTGAGCTGAGCTGCTGCTCCTCCGCTCGCTGACGCCGGATGAAGCCCTTATTTCGTGGTGTTTGTACACGGGGTGTACGTGCGTGTCGCTGCTTGCTCTTCGGGAGAGCTCTCCAGGTTGAAGTTTTGGATCCGTGCCTCTGAATTTGGCTTCTGAGAGGGGATTGAAGTTGGTTTGTGATGCTGTTTTTTCTGGAGCCGCAGAGCTACTTCTGAGAAATGTTTGCAGAACCCTCAGTGCTGCTGTGCTCGGTTTCCTTGAGAGCCTGAGAAACCTTTGGGGCTGCTGTGACGTGATAATCCTGATGAATTATTTTGGCAAATTTTATTTTCATTGGTGTGGTTGAAAGGTTGCGGGTTTTTTTTTTTTTTTTTTTTGACTGCTGTTGTGAGCATCACCTTCTGACTTCTGCGTTGTTTGGCAAACGAGCAAAGGGAGGCAGTACGTGGCTGCGGTGAGTGACCCTTTGCAGGAGCAGGGCCGTGGCTGACGCTTGTCCTGCAGCCCTGTGTGCATCAGGGCAGCACAGTGTTGTGCCACCTCTGTCCTCGTGTGACCTGTTCACCTGCTTCTGGCCACACGTACCCTCTGCACTGCCCTGAGCATCTGCTGCTGTAGCTTTCCTATGGCTGTATTTATTTCCATCAGCAACATCCTCCCTTATTTGCATGCTCGTATCCCCAGAAATATCTGCATGCAAATCACTTGAAAGCAACTCGATAAAGCTGGGTTATACGGAGTTCTGTCATCTTTTATGGCTGTTGCTGTTTGGGTAGAGGTGTACAACTAGTGAAGCCAATCTTTGTGCTAGAGGGATTGCGTGCATGGCAAATACAAATGCAGCATTATAGCAAACCACTGATGTCTGGTGTTGCACTGTGTGACATGGGGCTGAATGAATGGTGGTGTTGGGTTATTTGTAGGCTGAGGTTGTTCTTGGTGCTAAATATTGTCCTGGGGCACGTGTCACTGATGTGTGAGCAGTGAGTGCTGCAGAGATGAAGGGAGCCTTGGGGGCAGAGGTGCTTGTTAGAAGAACCAGCAGATGTAATCTCTGAGAGGGGATTAAAGGGACAAGACAACACTGGGCAAGTTAGCACTGAAGTGTGATAACTTGAGTGAGAGTGTTGCAGTGTTTCTGCTTGGGAATGTAAGTGAGCAATGAGAAACTGACCAGCAGCTTGGCTATGGCTGGGGGGCCTCAAGGGGAAAGCTGTCACTAGTTTTACTTCCTTCTGCTAAAGTTTCTACTGAATAATTGCCTATGGGAAAGACTCAGCAAGGAGTGGTGGTAAATTCTGAAAGCATGAAGGAGTGAACGCTGTCATTAGTGAAATTGGATGAGATTGCAACACCTCGGATCCGCACTGATAAATATTCTGATGTTGGTGGAGGTCTGTCCCTCACCTGGGGAGTTTCTGAGAGAGTCTAAGGAGAGGTGCTTTGTTTGCAAAGTGCAAAACCCCACAACTTCCTCCTGAGGAGAGCAAGCCATGAGCCCTGTGTGTGGTTGTCACAGCCCTGCCCTCAGCTGGGAGCAGAGCTCTGTGCTGTGCAGGGGTGGTGGCAATCTCTGGGGAGAAGGAAAGAAGTAAATAGCTGTATAGTTTTTGTGTGTGTGTGTGTGTGAGTATGAAATTTTTGAAAGAAACCTTCAAATGCTGCTTTTTGCAACAGGTTGTGGTGGAAACTAAACAAAACGGAACTGCTGAAAGACTGGAGAGAAATGAGAGATGCCAAGTGGTGATTTAGGTCTGTGTGAAGTGTTATTCCTTGGCGTAGCTCAGCTAAAAAGAAAAATAGGAAGCATTAATCTGCCGAACTGCTTTCTGTTTTCTCCCAGGGCAGGTAGAGATGGTTGTTTTGCTTCCGTCTGTCGTGGTCTAATATTGTCTTTTCATCATATCCAAGGCGGCCCCCTCCGCAGCTCAGCTATCTTAATTTCCTCTGCTCTCTGCGCTGCTTGTTTCCGCTCTGCTGTTCAGCCGCGCTGTCTCTGGGGGCTGTGGAGGGGATTCAGAGCCAAGTGAAGCAGCCGTAGCCTTGTGAGGCTTTCTGCTCCTCTAGCTCTATAATTTTGTTCCTTTGAGAAACCTTTGCTAGCTAGGCACTGAGTTCAGGTCTTTTCTGTGCCCGTTTTCATTATTCACAACAGAAGTGTGGATATAGAGTACATGATGCAGCCCAGGTTGTGAGGAAGAGCACTGATGAGGCAGTAAGTGGTGCCTGTGCAGCTTTCAGACATAGTGCTGCACGCAGCAGTGTGCAACTCTCTGTGCTGCAGCACTGCTTCTAGCAGTCACCCCTTCCTGAGAACACACAGCTGCCTCTTACTGTGGAGCAGGGCTTTTTGTAAACAAATGGGAGCAAGGTCACTTGGAAAACTTTGCTTTTTCCCCGAGCAGTTGGTTAGCAAGCGGGGAAAAAAAAAAAAAGGAACAGAAGATGCAGAGGTGGAGCTGCTCTGTCACGTGGTGGCATCTCTAAGCAGTGTCTGAAGTTGGGTGTCAGCTGCAAGGTGCATCTGGGAGAGGAACTGAGATGATGCGTTCTTTCTCTGCATGGTACAGAAAGGCATTTACTTGCCTTCCATTTCTGTTATTTGTGGGCCACGTGGAATGCATTAAAAAGATGCTTGCTTGCTGTGCCCCAGGGAAGCTGTAAAGCATCGTGCAAGTCAAGTCTCAGCTTCTTTGGTTTGGCCACAGAGCTTATGGGTAAATGGGGCGTGAGTTCTGCCCTGGGAGCCTGACCTCATGCTGGTGGAGGGGGCTGTAACAGCCTGGAAAGCCTGGCTTCGGCTCTATCAGTTTTCATTTGAGTGGTTCCTCTGATGTTACAGTTTTACTGTCTGGCTACAGTCCTGCTGTCTGATCTCAGAGGTTTGCTGGTTGGTTGGGTGCCGCTGGCTTGAGGCAGTCGTGCAGCTGCTTTTCTCATTGGGTCAGTTTGAGATAAATAGTAAGATAACCTGAGACATCCTTTTTAACCAATGATTGAGTTTCTGGGGGCTAATGACCCTATCATTATGACATTACTGCATTTACTAATGAAATTTGGAAGATGAATAAGTTCAGTTCCTTATGTCTATTAACGTTTTTGACCCACTATCCACAGTTTTGGACTCCTTGGTCCTATTTAACACTTGTCTTGAATTCCGTGTTTCTCCAGGGAGGAGCTGGAGGTGTGGTGATAGATTTGAATGATGTTTAAATACTACTATGTTTCAAGGATGGGAAATTTAAACGTGGCCTTTGCATTCCTGTGGGCCTGCTGGGGTAGTAATTCTGCTTGGTACCCTTTGATGATGTGTTTCACCTAGCAGCTGGCTCTGATCTGTGTGCTGCCTTGAAAAGTGATTGGATAATGGAGGGGTAAAGGCACTGAGAGAGCAAAGTAACCATCAGTTACACCCAGGAGTGGCTTTCCACTGAGAACAGTGTGATGGAGAAGGGCTCTATTACTGTACTCTGGAAAAAGCACGCAAGGCTGTGTGCTGCATGGCCATTGTCCTTCCCTATGGCTCCGTGCCCGATCCGATCAGATCGCTGCGTGTAAGATAGAGGAAAGCAGAGAACCTTGACCCAACAGTTTCACTTGAATATTAAACAGTGCTGATCCTTTGCCATGCCTCATGGGCAGCATATGACTTCGGAAGTGGCAGAGTATTAAGAGCTAAAGCTGATCCCAACAAGAAGAGCAAAGTCCATGCTGGTACAGCTTACAGTGGGAAGCTGCAGGCTTACAAGCACTGGGGGCTGCCATAAAACTGAGGTAGGAAGCAAAACTGGGTTGAGTGTTTCATGTCTGTGAAACACAAGGATGGTGTGGTAGGTGCTTCATTGCTTTCCTTACCTACAGCTCTCAAAAGGCTGTTTACTCCCCTGACTACCAAGGTAAGGAGCAGGGAGGCTTGCAGCAGACCCAGCATCTCTGATGCTCTCCTTGCCCTCCCAGTGCTGCCTGGGTCAGGGAGCTGGGATTCTGTATTCTGAGTGGTGGTTTTGCCCTTGAAGCCTCTGTGTCTTAAAACCTTTCCAAGGAACATCGCTTTTCTCAAGTTTTTTTCCCTTGCCATTTTAAGGGCTGTCTAGACATAGTCTGTCCAGGAAATGATCATTAAATCTCACCTTTCAGTTTGGGAGGAATTTTGGTTTTATGAGTATACTCACATGTTTGGTTTCTGTTGACCAAGGCACTCTAGCTTTAGGGAAGATAATGCTTTATGAGCTCCTGCTTTTTGGTGGTTGTTTGATGGCTTTCTCTTCATGATACAACTGCAGAAAGCTGGTCAAAGGCATTTGCTTGTTTTCAGTTATGTCAGCTACTTGATTAAAATAAACCACAGTCGTGATTGCAACTTCTTTACAATTACTTGAAAGAGGAAATGTAACTACTTAAAAAAAAAAAAAAGAAAAAAAAAAAAAGGAGGGGGTGGGGGGGATGGAAGAGGGGGAGAAAAAGCATTTCCTGTTTACAGAATTTATACCTATTACTTTATTTTAATGATTATTTTTTAAAGCAGTTTCATTATTTGTATCAGTTTGTTCT